AAAATTAAAAATAGTCTAAAAAAAACCTTAAAATGTCTAAAAATAGTAACTTTATATCAAGAATGAGACTAAATGAGACTAAATGAGATCACTTTCTCATTTTTTTCAAGTCATGATTTCATTTTAAGATCTGATATATAGTCACTTTATCTATTTTTTTAATAGTCAGTCTCAGCAGAATTCACACTAAGAAATGTATGAGATCAGATTAAATGAGATTAAATGTGAAATTCATAATCTCAGTAATCAGTCTACTGATTTCAGACACAGTTACATAGTCAGTCTAATTATAACTAATCTATAAATCTTAATTCATAAGTTTAGTGATGTGATCAATGAGAGTAATATAACTAGAAATGAAAACTATAAAAGAAACTTAGTTTAATTAATTTAAAAGAATTTAGATAGAAGTGTCTATAATTTTTAATAGAGAATAATATCAGTGAATGAGACAGTTTTTAGAATTAGTGATTATATAGATTGAATTCAGCAACATTATTAATATAATAATTGATTTTTTCAGTTTATCACTTATTTACAGTGATTTCATCATTTATTCATCATTATACTATGATTTACAGCTCAGTGACCGTGTCGCTGATTGAAATGGTGGAACAACCATAATCCGGTCGTGTAATAACCCTACGTTCTTCCCGTATGGTTACAATCGGCGACACGTGACACGGGTGGAATGGTGGATCCACGGTGTAATCACCGTAAATTAACCCTACGTTCTTCCGGTATGGTAACTGCGAAACCCCCTAGTCACGTGAGACGCTAGGATGCGCCCATGCGGATTTGGTGTAAGCATGCCATGCTCCATCTTCCATCAAATACAGACGATTTTGCCAGCAGAATGGGTAAGTAGCATCGATCTCTTTATGGCTTGGTCTCTGACAGTTATCACAGAGTTTGAATTTATCATAACCTCACAATCCAAGCCGCCAGAAACCCTCTCACATAGAGAGAGCCGCGAGCTGTGCAAAATCATCGAGTTGATATACGCGCGATTGGTTATTGCAGAGGACATCATCAGCACTCTAAAAGCAGGTCATTATTTGGATGAGGCATTTGGCGGTCGCATATGCAGCTTAAGGGATATAAAACGGCGCCTACGACCATATCACCAACATGACGAGTCCCGGCCACACCTGCACAAGTGCCCTGCTGCCCGATGTAAGCAGCAGTTTGAGACTGCTGATAACCTGCCACGGCATATCCGAAATACGGCTGATCTTAGCCACCGGTTTGACAAAGAGATACTTGATGGGAGATACTGTTTTCAGTGTGGCAAAGAGTTCACTTCAGCCAAATCTCTTTGGTTGCACGAGAAGGATGATCATTTAGAATCGAGCCGTTCCAGAGTTGATGCTTTTAGGCAATTTCACAGCACTTGTGAGTTCCATTGCTTGTTCAAATAGCATCCACACTAACAGAAACAGTGTCGCAAGTCGAACTACCAACTACAACACAACAGCCAACTAGCGGCCTGTCAAAGAAGAGGAAACTTGGTGACTGTGAAAGAGGCGCTACATCAGGCAACTTTCGGAATCAACGCCAGAAACAATCAGATTTATCGAGACCGCACTCTAGCAAAAATACTGTCCATTCTACTGGGAAGCAAAATCGGCAGTGCATATCTGAAGAACAGCGTTCTGACCCGCAACCAGTTGTTGAAGGGACTGTGGCGGACAACCGTGGCGAGCTCCCCTTTCACAATGTAATGCAGCCACCGTCGACCGGCTCCGACAGGTCCGCCTTCGATTACGCTATCGATTCCTCTCAGTCCGCCTTCGATTACGCTATCGATTCCTCTCAGTCCGCCTTCGATTACGCTATCGATTCCTCTCAGTCTGCCTTCGATTACAGTATCAATTCCTTGCACAATCCCTGCTCAGCTCAGTTCGCCTTCGATTACAGTATCGATTTCTTGACCAATCCCTGCTCAGCCCAGTCGTCGTCTATTGGCGGGAACCAATCCATCTTCGACTATTCACTACTCGATCCGCAAGCGGCTCAACAATATCATTCTTCGGCTGATCCATACTTATCTACTTGCTCCTCTGGGCAGTGTGCCCATCTTGAAGGGTCCCACCCACCTTGACATGATTATACTGTTGTCTCAGCCAAGAGGGGGAGGGGAAGCTACGGACAGTGGTTAACAAGGACTTTGAACCAATCGTAGTCAGAACTCATATTCAAATCCCATTGCCAGAAACGCTGCCCCGCCTATTTTAGATGCACCATGTTCGCTTCCTGTATCTATGCCTGCAGTGCCTATATATCCTAATAATTTCTCCTTGTGTGAAGTGTGTTGAGTGAGCAAGCTTCAAAAGGCCCTGATTATATCACATCCAATTGTAATTTGTCCGAAGGTAGTTCAGTTGATATAGGTCTATCTTTTTGCCCTTCGATTTTGGGAACCGGTTCGCTAGCCAACCATTGCACATGATCCTAGAGTAGACATTAATAACCGACATTTTGGGTCCAAGCTTAGGACTTTAACATACACGTCTCTACCACTGGCGCTGACAGCCTTCGTTCGCCCAAGCGCTTTCCCCCGGCCGCCTGTGTCGTATTCCCATTCCCAACACGAACTATCGTCGCCGAGAAGGTGAAAGCAGGTCACAGCAATGACCTCTACCTTCTCTGATAGCATTTCCCACTGAGGTGAGCGGTCGATCGCGGACTTCTCAATTACAGAATTGACAATATGTCGACACTTTATGCACCTGAAGTCGGAGCCCGTTGCGGCAAGGAAATGACGAACGGGCTAGGTTTATCAGTCAGCTTGAAAGGAATTTGGTGGTGGAGATCCTCACCCTGTTGTCTATAGCCTCCTCCATAGAATCAGTCTCGGCAGCGCCCTTGAATATAACATATCCATCCGAGTTAAAAGCCTCAAGTACTTTATCACCCTCCCGATGGAGATCCAGCGTTGCACCAGATGCTGTCTCAACCTTAGTTTCAACCTTAGTTTCCATGACGATGTGGATGTGATCTCGCGCATGATGGCGCGGGGCCTTGCAGGCTCGAGACTGCGCCGGATCATGAGGGGAACTCCACGTGAATTTCATCCTTGGCAACATTTTCGGCTGTGGGGCCAAGCTGCTACATCAGTCAGAACTACTCAAGTTGCCAATATAGGTCAAACTCACGGCAGTGCCGAATTAGAAACTTGCCGAAACGGTCTTACTGCCGGCGAATCCATCATCTTGGGCTGATTCTGACACCAAATGTGAATAAAGAAACAGATCAGAATATGCGGACATATAAAGAAGAAGAAAAAAGAAAGAAAGAGCTTTTTCTGCAAGTGACTTTCAGCAAGTGATCTTCCTTTTAAAACCAGGAATTCCCTCAAGGCCTGCTTTCATTTGACAGCCTTGCGCAAGGCTGCTGGTTGCCTGAGAGGCTCTTACATACATCACTTGTTTCGCTGTGCTACATGGCCTACTCTAATTGGTAGCTAAGCCAATTCTCCGGAAACTAGTCCTGCAATCGGAAACTGTATTTAAACTCGAGAATTCTAAACTGGACGATTTACTATGAGAGAGCGGCACGGATGGCCAACTATATACCTCCACAGACAGGAAGAGAAACAGGAAGGAAGTAAGTTAGACTAGGTTGCAATGTGGTATGTAATACTAAAAGCAGAAGCAGAAATTGATATTGAGAAGCTTTCTAATCCGCTGCATGGCGGCTGTCGCCTTGCTTGTGTCGGCGATGTAAGACCTAAACACGAACAGCTCTTTGACTGTAAACATTAAGCTCCACCAATACATTTCGTACTTCGGGGAGGACGGTCTGTGGCGGCTGAGGCACTCAGTCAACAACGGGAGCTCTCTGATAGAGAGAAACACAAATGGCAACGCCAGTCCCTTTTTCAGCTCGTCGCGATATGCTTGATAGTTGACGATGCTTGACAGCTGCAGTGGGATCATCTTGCCGTCACACCCAGCTTGCTTCAAACTGTAGAATATCACAGTCAACCCGTGAAAGTTTCAACGTTCGTATAAGTACTTTTGATCCCCTGTTAAAAATGAACCCCTAAGCAAGAAGGCGGCATTAATGCTTATCACGGCAAGTTCAACTAACACAGCACTGTGCTTTGAGTCAACTTGAAGGCAGTCCGCAACATCTTCACATCGATAGTTCCAAGAGCGACCCAAGGAACCGAGCCACTTGTGGAAGCCTTCCCCCTCCATGAACGTGAGGGCATAACCGTCGCGGAAGGACCTCAGGTCGTTTTCTGTGATTGAACTGGCTAGTAATCCAGGCGACGTGTGACTAATGCCGCGGAAAAGTGAGATGTCAGTTCAAAACTCAGCCATCTCATCATTATCCCATTGTCGGTGATAGGTCCGCTGAAAGCGGATATCCAGGAGGTTCAATACATCCGGGGCCAGGTCATCAGTTGGGAGACTACACAGAGGGCCAATGATGAAGCTAATATTCAGATTGCAGGTCGCAGGCCGTCCATTCAGCGATTCAATGCCGCTCGATATTACCATGCGTGCAAAAGGGTTTACTTCTGAGATGATCTTCCCTCAAAGTTAGCACACCATGCAAACAAAGCAACTGCCTTCAGCTTATCTCTAGAAGGTCATTCTTGACCTTCTCCGCCTCTGAACACCGTCGAAGGCGGTAGTAGAGCCGAACACTGAGCATTTCGTGGTATCAAAGGAACATATCCACCAAATGTGTGTTCCGCCCAGTTGCTTTCAGAACCCACTCAACAAACAGAACCTGCAGAAATACCAACCAGCTTGCTGCATCAATTGCCCTGGCTAAACTGTGGGTATCAGCTGTTTCAACACCCCCCAGTGGGTTTGTCTCATAAGGCAAATCCATAAATGATATGCGCTGCTGCAACGTGTGCTCAAAGAATGATGAACAGGTGGCACAGAAATTGTCGTGGAATTTGACAGAGGATGAGGAGTTGATTTTGAATGAGATTGTATCCTTCATGGACGAAACAATAGTGACTGCAGTCTTTTGTATACATACACTTCCGGTAGCCGTAACAAGCAAGCGCCGCAGCTCGAACACTAGACCACCCACAATCAGGGATGTGAGACTATCAATGTACACTTCAACGCCAAGATCACTCCTAATCAGGAATGATAAACTAGTTCATGCACGCTCCAACGCCAAGATCACCCCTAACTGGGAATGATAATGCTGGAACGCCAAGACCACCCCCGATCAGGAAATGCCAGGATATGAATCAGTTCATTGTGGCAGAGCTCAATGTCAAAGGTCATGCCTAGTTAAATAAGTATAGGGGTAATATATGACGGGGGAATTGGGCTGACTTGATTGACTCGCGCGACCTCGTAATGTAGCGTGTCTAGCCGCCTAGTTCGTCCAGATGGGCTGATGGAATGACTGAGGCAGGACATAAATTAATACCTGGTGCCCCCCAGAATATCTGTCCCATCGTGCAACTGTCTCTTCAGTGAGGTATATGCTCCAGATTTCGCGCAACGTGTTGAACTTCTCAATCTTGCCGGCATGGGCAGAGGCCTCTATGACACAACTGGAGTTCCCAAACCTCCACCTCCCGTGCTGAGATAGGTTTGCAGGTACACTCGGTCTGACAAAGGTACAGCAAACGGTGTGCTATGACGGGTGAGAAAGAGGTGATCCAACCGCATGTTCCTCAGCTGTTGGGTACAACTCGCGATTATGAGAGATTGCAGCACCCCAAGGATCTCGGACATTTTCGCGAGCCATACGAAGGAAGGAGGCTCCCACTGCGTCCCACCGACCTACGAGCGATTATAAACGCCGACACATTTCCCAATTCCGAGCAGCCGAAATATCCGGCCACGACCGCTGCCTCACAATTGCCTCAGCACTACCACAGCACGTACCACAGCACGTACCACAGCACGTACCACAGCACGTCCTCACATCTTGCCACTCAGCGCCGATCGGACGATAGCCCTTCATATGCCATAACTTCTTCAAGGCTCCAAGATCAAGGAAAACCGTCGAGCTCGGGATCACCGCAAATAATGAAACAGGACCCGATACCGTCTCGTGAGCAACCGACCCAATTCCTGGTACCGGTACCCTCCTATGCAAAGGGTTCAACGCAGGCATCCAATACACTCGCTGCGGCCGATCATTACTTTCAGGCTTGCAATCCTCCACGCATTGCCTCACAGCATGAAAGTTCGCCACAATCATCCTACCATTTGTTTCGCCAGACACAGATGTCCTCAACCTCAACACAATGCAATCAACAGCAGTACCCCGCTGTTATTCCTCCACTGCCACAGGGTGGATTGAGAAATTCTCTTGCGCGATTAGAAGATGTCCGGCCACACCCGATACGAAATCTTCCAATGCTGCAGACAGCAACAGACTCGGCGCAAAGATGGCTTGGTACAATCGATATCGATATGAAATCCGGGTCGCGGAGAGCGGCGGAGAAACGACGACTAAATAGCTACGCCTCTAAAATGTTCCGCCAGCGCAAGAAGGCTAAGGTGGAGGAAATGCAGGAGACGATTGAGAGATTGACCAAAGAGTGTGACTATTTACGATGTTTGTGTAATAGGCTAGGGAAGAGCAGGGAAGCAGAGATTGATTCCTGATTCCGCTTGATATTACTGACTGCCCTTATCAAAAACATCGTTCGAGTCGCACGTGCATTATCCAATAGAGGAGGGGTCACTTTTAAGCATGTCTAGATATTCGATGGCGACTTGGTTGCAGTTTGCGCACGCTGGTTTTAGGGTATGTAGATGGTCGCTGGTCGAGTTTCTGAAGCGGGCACTGGCATCGGATGGAGGAGTTCGCCTGATGAGGACTAATGTGCTTTGTTCTTTCTCATGTTTCTCGCTCGAAACTTATATCTGATGACAACGCTGCCGGCTTTAACGCTGAATCCTGACAAGCCTCCGGCGCAAGACCTGCCTTGTTTGATTTTCTGTCGTACATGCATCTTTTTGTGTTTTCTGTCATTAGACTGTTCAATAATTTATGGAGGTTATAATTTTGTAAAACTTTATCTCTAGCCAACACATCGTGGGGAAGACTGTAAATGTCATAGAAATTTTTCTTCTTATGGGCCGTGTCTATGCCTCCGAGGTGGCCCCTATACGCTCTCCCTGCTTCATCAGTCAACAAACCCCATAAACATTGTCTTGGAGGGGAACATTAGCGTAGACCAGGGGGTTTAATGGCATATAAAGCCAGCCCTCCTCCCATTTTGCTTCCATCGCTCCATCTTCCCTTTTCTCCCCAATCCGACGCCACACTTCCATCGTGAGTACCCAGACAACCGAAACACGTAAGATTGAGGACTTGGTCCCAGAGACTGGTTCGGTAGACAGCAAAAGTAGCAGTGGTATGACTTCCGTCCCGGGTGCGTCAAAAACTTCCATCATTCTACCTATAGCCGGTGGCAACTGACATCTGGACGCAGAAAAGAACCAGGGAACTAACATGACTGAGTATCAGAAAAGCATCACGCTGGGCTCTAGCTCAACAAGACTGACATCACCGGTGCTGGTGTCACAGCTTTGAGAAGCAGTGATTCACAGTTCTGTACATTGCGAGGAAACTGCCACTGGACAAGCCATCCACATCACTCTCTCTAGGGATCCACTCAGCCTCCAACCCTCGAAAGCGGTACCAGATTGAGCCTGACTGATTCATACAGTTCTGACAGAAAAATGAGTTGTGACGCCTTTTCAGCAGATGTACAAATCTCTCGGTTAGGAAGAGATGGGCTACATCCGGAAGAGGCTTGGAGAATACACCGGTTGAGTGAGATGGCATAGCCATAAATTAGATGGCTTTGACTGTGCAGTTATCCTCGAGGACGCCAGGACACTATTTTTGTATGTTGCGCTTCTGGAGTCGATGATGAAAACCCAACAGGTAAAGTTGCATCCCAAACTTACACTGAAATACGTTAACCAACAGAAAATGACACTAGGCCGAGACGCCGTTCAAGAAGAGAACCATGGAAAGCGGCAGCGACGTTATCGAAGAGTATACGGCGACCAGAGATAGATTACTAAAGGGAGGTACAAATTGTTGGTGATTACTACACCTACCCTAGTCACGTGCCACCCCAACCTCTTGGAGGATAACGTTGTTGTGTTGTGTTGTAATCTGTAGCGCCTTGGTGGCATTGCCCTAGCGATCGCTCCGCCTGCACGTGATCTCTCATGTTATATAATGTAGCTAGCTGCTCCCATAATAATAGGAGGATCAACCTTTCCCACTTACAGGTTATGGCCCGGAATGTTCGCGTTTTTCTTTTAATAAGATCTCTTATACGCGTTTTTATAGAAGGATTACACTGTAGTCAATTGTCTGTGGATTGGTTCACTTTTCTAGGTTGATTTGAATAGAAGACACTCTCAGTACTCAGAATAAGCAGATGTGTCTAGAAATTAAGAGATTGTGTTCTTTCTTTAAGTCAATAACTGGATGAGATTGATCTTATCTGAATCTCTTTTCTTATATCTATACCCAGGTCATGATGACTGATGAGTAGCTTGCCTACTTCTCAGAGTGATAGAAAGAAGACTCTACACTTTCATTCTCATACTCAGGCAGCTCAACAGGCCTCTATTGATGAAGAATCAGATGAAGATGATATTACTCAGTACATAGAAGTTACAGAGAAAGTCATGAAGTCATTCACTAGTCAAGATACAGACACTCATCATGAATTCAATGATGAAACCTTAAGCTTAAGTGCTATGTGTATAGTATTCACAGAAGCACGTCCTGCCGGCAGTTCTATGCCTAGAATGAGTCAAGATGGCATGATATTCATGTTGTTAGATGACCTTATAATGTTCTGTGATAGAATGAGTGTGTGTTGAAAGATTATCCCTGCTGTGAACAATTTCAAATCTCAGATCTGTGAATATCAAAAAGATGTTCAAAAAGCTATAAATACTAAGACTGTAACTACATTTGACAGCATCAATTATCAGATCTGATGTACAGAAATTCTTATGAATACTGAAGTTATCAGCAGATCTGACATTCTTATAAAGAATTAACATGTCTGTTCAGATGACATCAGTCAAGACATGTTAAGTGCTGAAAAATGAAGCATTTATATCAAAGCACTGTATTAACATATATTACAGTTCTTATTAGAATCTGTACATACAATCATTGAAACTCTTGAGCCAGATAATACAGTCATGTTATGAGAAAGAATTGAAGTCAAGTACACTGTCTCACTTGTGAAAGAATGTATAAATATTATAAAAGAATTGATTATTTTACATATCAAGAAAAATGATTATCTAGCATTTCAAAGAAGATTTCATTATTTGATTGCATATCATAAGAAGTTAGTGAGTGACTTAGAAGACTTCTATCATAATCTCTTTCTTATTGATTTAAAAGATCATCAAAAGTCTTTTATCAAGACATATTTGAATGATTTCTATATGACTGATCAAGACTCTATTCACAATATTGATATTGAAGATCTTATGAAACAGTTGACAAATTGTATAAGTAAGTCTAAGAATGAATATTTTAAGTCATAGTAAGTCAATGCAGTTATCACAATCTCTACTATATTATTCACTGACAGCTTCAAGTATGACATATGCAGTACAAACTGACACTCAAAGAACACTTGCTGACATCTATATTCTGAACTTGCTACTGAACAGTGATGTGAGTTAAACAAGAACTGTATCATTACATCTGAAGAGAATGATAGTAGTAATATCAGTGAACACAGCAAGCAGAGAGATAAGAAGAAGAATAAGAATAAGAATGATAAAAAAGATGAATCTTCTGATCTTCTAGCCTCTTAATTCATCACAGTCAATGCTGTGATCACTTTTTCAGTGACTGTCAGTACTATATTCAAGTCTTGGTTTCTTGATATGTGTGTAAGCTTCAATATAATGAGGGAAAAGCAGTCTCTTATTCAATGTAAGACTTATGTCAGTGATCTCAAGATTAACACTGTGAATAGAGGTCACAGCCATGTCAAGGAAATCAGTGATCTTCTCTTAGAATCTGAAGAAGGAAATATTACAATTCATGATGTTCACTGAATTCTCAATCTCACAGTCAATCTGTTGTCATTTGTCAAGCTTGAAGATCAGAGCATTCAATTTGAATTATCATCATTCATCTCATCTTACTTTCTCATGAGAGCTTTAAATAGCATTACTTTCACTGTGATTCGCATGCCTCAGAGCTTCATATATAAGATTGTTAAAAGAATGTCAGAAGTTGACATTCATTATAAGTCAAGAGCAGTATATTACATCATAAAATTATATGTATATGTAAATACTGTAACTACTGCTGACAACAACAATTTCACTAATAATAATCAGACTTGATCTCTCACAATTGCTAAAACACTCACTGAATGATATACAGACTTAGGTTATATACACACAGAAGTCATC